AAGGGCGTTTAGGTTATCCTCTCCACCATTGCCTGGATTGTCAGTTCATGCCATCCTAGTGCCAGATCTCTCCTGGACCTATAATAGCTCCCTGTAGTATCTCTCATCCTGCTCTCCTCTATTCTTCCCCCAACTCAGTATTTCTGCTCCTCCATTTCCTCCTCTCCTCTTCTCCTGCTCTCATTCTGGCAGCTCTCCCTCCCCTCCCCTCATGTTCCTAATTAGCTCAGGAGTTCCTGCCCCTTCCCATTCCTGGGGTCCATGCATTTATCCTCTAGAGTATTTCATATTTCCTAATTTCTTTGGTGAAGAGGACTGTAGGTCGGTAATCCTTTGCTCTATATCTAAAATTCATATATGAGTGAGTACATACCATGTTTGTCTTTTTGTGACTGGGTTATCTCACTCAGGATGGTTTCTTCTAGTTCCATCCATTTGCCTGTGAATTTCAAGATTCCTTTTTTTTTTTTTTCACTGAGCAGTACTACATTATGTAAATGTACTACATTTTCTCTATCCATTCTTCAGTTGAGGGACATCTAGGTAGGTTCTGGCTATTACAAATAATGCTGCTATGAACATGGTTGAACATATGTCCTTGTTATCAATGAATGGGCATCTTTGGGATATATGCCTAAGAGTGGGATTGCTGGTTCTTGTGGTAGACTGATTCTCATTTTCCTGAGGAATCTCCATACTGATTTCCAAAGTGGCTGGACAAGTTTGCATTCCCACCACAGTGAAGGAATGTTCCCCTTTCTCCACATCCCTTTCAGCATAGACTGTCATTGGTGTTTTTGGTTTTAGCCATTCTGACAGGAGCAAGATGGTATCTCACAGTTGTTTTGATTTGCATTTTCCTGATGGCTATGGATGTTGAGCACTTTCTTATGTGTCTACCAGCCACTTTAGATTCCTCTATTGAGAATTCTCTATTTAGTTCTGTACCCACTTTTTGATTGGGGTATTTGGTTTTTGGTGACTAGCTTCTTGAGTTCTTTGTATATTTTGGAAATCGGCCCTCTGTCAGATGTGGGGTTGGTGAATATCTTTTCCCATTCTTTCACTAAACCCACAAGAACTTACTGCCTTCTTGAACTAAGCAGTGAGAGCTCAGTCAGCTCTGCTCCCTAGAATTTAAATTTTCACTAAACAGAATTATTTTACTTGGTATTCCCAGTTGTGAAATTTTATATATCTCTTACCCAAATACTGATGGACAATTTTCAGTAACTGGACTACTAATCTTAATATAGAATATCCTAAATTATAAGAAGGCACAAGTGGAACTTTCTTGCAGACAGTACTGCACCCTCTGTTCATCCTTTGTGTTTACTCACATGCATGCCTACTGTAGTAGTTTGAAGGAAAATGGACCCCAAAGGGACTGGCACTGTTTGGTCTTGTTGGACGTGTGGTCTCATTGGAGGAAGCCTGTCACTGCGGGGTGGGCTTTGAGGTGTCCCATGCAGAAGCTCTTCCTAGTGAAACAGTTTACTTTCTGTTGCCTGCAAGATGTAGAACTCCCAGGTCCTCTCTAGCACCAAGTCTGCCTGCATTTGGCACCATGATGCTAACATGTAAGCCACCCCAATTATGGTTTTCCTTTCTGTTCTTGCAGAGGACCCATGTTCATTTCCTAGTATCCATATGGTGGGTCATAGTCATCTATAACTCCAGTTCTGGGAGGTCCAATACCCTCCTCAGGTTACATATGTGATATACATATATAACATAAGTGACCCAGAGACAGATATTGGGGTTCAAGCTTCAAGCTGAAAACCAGAAAAGCAAAGCAGCCAAGCCACTAGCTCTTATCTCTACCTCAGGTTGAAAGGGCTGATCCTGTCTCCAGGAGGTCTCACCAAACCTCAGACTGCTGTCTCTCCTCAGCATGGCTGGAGAATCAATGCCTTCCTATCAATGTGGCTGGAGAATGAATGCCAGTTCTGAGACCCTGTTCCTGTCTTAAGTGCCTCTCATGAGTCCTAGGATTAAAGGCATGAGCTCTCTTAACTCTTTTAGACTGATTCAGTCTCGTAGCCCTGGGTGGCCTTGAAGTCAGAGAGATCCATCTGCCTTGGTCTCCTGAGTCCTGGGATTAAAGGTGTGTACCACCACCGCCTGGCTTCTCTGCCTGACTACTTTGCTATTTTGATCTCCAGTGGCTTTAATAAATCATAAACAGTATATCACGACATACATACATACATACATGCACACACACATAAAAGTGAATAAATCTAAACAAAAGACCTTTTACTTTTATAACTTTTAATACTAAAATTCAGCATATGTAAAGCCAAACTTATTCTTCTCCAATTTACAAATTCTGTATTTGCATCTTACTGTGTTAGTTTATTTGTTTGTGTATTTGTTTATTATTTACTTTTTCCTATCATAAATTCCTTTTATTTGGGATACTCTCTGTTCATCTGTCTCATTTTTGAAATCCCTCAGTATTGTCATCCTAGGTGAGTGCTTAATTATCTTATACTTGTAATATTGAATCTTACTGTATATCCCAGCTTGCCTGGACTATCTTAAGTATATGTAGCCAGGCTGGCTTTGCAATCATGGTCCATATGCTGTGATTATGGACATGTACCTCCACTCCTAGCTTTGGTCTTTAGCATTTTGAGACAGAGCCTTCCTATGTTGCTGGTCTTGAATTCCTAGGCTCAAGAGATGCTTCCTTCTCTCCCTAAAGCTCATTAGGTCTTTCACTGCAGAATACTTCTTTCATAATGGTATTTTCTTACAAACTCATTCCAGAAAGGTCTTTTCTTATATGAATTCTTACAGCACTTAATCTTATAATTGGCTGTATAATGTTTTGAATTAACTAGTTTGATTGTAAACTAAATGTCTAAAATGTTGAACCTCCTGTTGCTTGGAAAATATGTGATTGGGCAATATGGTGACAAATAAGATAGTCCCAATTTTGTCTTTCATATTTTTAGCAGTTACTAAGTGGGTTCTATGAACTTGGCATTGTTGTATGCACCTGATAGATAATAACCCATTTTATTTTTAAGCAATTCTCTGTGACATGCATGTTATTTTACTTATTTCATGCAGGTCAAAACTGAGCTAGCCATGATTCAGAACTAGCTTACTATTTTCAAAATCTATGCTCTTGGTTCTTGTATCATCTTAGTGTTTGTATTATCTAGCTTAAACAGTAAAACTGTATTATCTAGCTTAAACAGTAAAACAGAAGCCTCACTAGAGGCTTAGGATTTTCACAAGAGGTCTAAAGTTCAGCAGATGGCAAGATCACCTCCATCTAGAAAAGAAACAAAGGGTTTAGAAAGAAGCTGGAAGAAGAATAGGAAAAATTTGTGAGATGAATTCTTGAGACATGATTGTTCAGAGTATATTACCAGGCGTAGTGAACAATTTAGCGCCATCAGTGGTACTTTAAATGATAAAGAGAAAGTAAACTTAGAAAATTAGGTTGTGGCCAAGTCATATTTATTAAATTTTAAAGTTAGCATACAAAGTAATAAGTTTCATTGTAGCATCTTCATATTTGTATAGCATTATGCTTGGTATTTTGAAAAAGTGGAATAGTGTCATTGTGTACTTTAGAAATATTTAGCTGCAGTAATATATGAGTTTGCAGGGACGAGAAGGAATGCTAAAAATTTGTTGCAGTAGTTTCATGCCAGCCAGGCTACCTAATATGACTGTACCTTTAAAAAAAAAATCAAAAGTTATTGCAGTAGTCTGAGTTCAAGAAAAATAATAAGTAGCTAATTATACTATGGCTACTATATAATAAGTAGCTAATAGGAGAACAAGAGGCCATAGTGACCAGTAAAAGATAAGATGTCAGCTGAGGGCCTGAAGAAGGCTCAGCTTTGGGACTCTAGGTAGCTGGAACTGAGCCTGCTGCACAAAGCGTGGTCTCAAAGACCAACTCTTCTGTGAAAGGGGAACAAAAACTACTCTTCCAGACCATTGTAATCCCTGGGGTTGTAACAAGAAGCCAAAGCAAAAATTTCTAGGATTTTCACAAACAAGGCTTTGGGGAGTTTCATTGGAGGAAAAATAAATCAAGTGAAGATGTGCTCAGAAGAGGCATAAACTTTGATGGTCAGCAGACACAAAGAACACAACTGGCATGGCAGCAGCAGGAAAGCAAGACAACCTGAAAGAGACCATAAAACTAATTAGCTTTACAGTGCTTACAGGAGGAAAAGAAAGAATAAAATCACCATGAGTGAATGTAACAGCAGGATAAGAAAAAATACAACTTGTAGGAAGGAAGTGCTCATTGAAGACTTGTTTAGGCCACTGAATTTTTAGACCACGGAAATGAAAATCTGTTGCTTAGACCACTGAAGTGATAATTTATGAATCAGAAGTTGATCCTTTACAAACAAAAGATAAGAATAAAAAAGATAGAAGAGTAGCTAGGAATGTAGAATGGGATGATAGAATGCCTGATGGCAGTTACAGATGGAGAGTTTGGGAAATATGACATTAAAATAATGGCTGAGATTTTCAAGAATTGTTAAAAGATAGGTAAATCTTTATATTTGAGAAGTACTCAGTGTGCTTAAACAGGGTGAATAAAAATAGTCTACAGAGAAACAAATCAAGGAGAAACTATTGAAGCAAACAGAGATCCTTAACCCAACTATGGGGATAAAATGAACACTAATTACATAAACAATTAACTTTCTTATGTACAATAAGAAGGTATTAGAAGAAAGTAGAATATACCTTCAGAACATCTACTGGATATTTTACAGAAAAAGAATGAAACATACATGCATTTAAATAAATTAATATTTAACAGTATGCCAGTAGTGGACCTTTACTATGAATATGCTTCAACAAAAAGATTGAAACCAACTATGGTAGCATACCCCTGCAATCTTAGCATTTACAAGGCTGAGGCAGGAGGACTGTAATTCAAAGGCCTGCCTAGGCTAAGAGACTGTTGGGGCTGGTGAGACAGTTCATCAAGTAAAAACATGGCCTGAATTTGATGCCCAGAACCAACTTAAAAAAGATAGAACCATCTCAGCAAAGCTGCCCTCTGACCTCCATGTGTATCCATGGCATCCACACAATAAAATATGCAAATAAATTTTTCCAAGTTTTTTTCTGTATCTTAGAGGGAGTTTTAATGTAGTAGCCATGAACCAGTATTGGTTATGAATGAGTGAACACTGCAGCTGGGTGGTGGGCACATGGGAATTATATTGTTGGTTCTTTTAAAACATAAAATCAAGCCGGGCATTGGTGGCGCACGCCTTTAATCCCAGCACTCAGGAGGCAGAGGCAGGTGGATCTCTGTGAGTTCGAGACCAGCCTGGTCTACAAGAGCTAGTTCCAGGACAGCCTCCAAAGCCGCAGAGAAACCCTGTCTTGAAAAACAAAACAAACAAAACAAAAACATAAAATCAAAGTAGAACTAATAGAACCCAGGGCTTCGTATATGCTAGGCCAGTGATCTTCTATGAGCTGTACTCCTTGCCTGTGCTTGTTTAATGCATTGATAGTTACAGTTGTTTAATTTGAAGTAACAAACAAATTCATCTGACAAAATCAGAGGTAGATGTTGGCAGGTATTTGGGGGTAGTAGGACAACAACTCTCCATTGTTGATGGGAAATTTAGTCAAAGCTTCTTTGACAAGTAATTTGATATGTAAAGCTGAAACTATTCATGATATTAATCAGACATTCCCTTTAAAATATATTGACTAGAGAAAGACATACATACATAGACAAAGAATTATTTAAAAGATAGTCATGCCAACATAAGGAGAATATAAAACGACTAGGATATTCATCAGTATAGGCAACAAGTGGATAAACAGTATATGTTAGCCATATAGTACGTAATGGATTAAATATTACACACACAAGCTCTACAGAGAACCTCAGAATTTAATCATTTGAAAGTAAGGTCTTTTAAAATACTGTCATATTGAAATAGGACAGTCCTTGTGGTGGTTTGAATAGGAATGGCCCATGCACTTATGTATTTGAGTGCTTGGTCACCAGGGAGTGACAATATTAGGAAGTGTGACTGTGTTGGAGTAGATGTGGCCTTGTTAGAGGAAGTATGTCATTGTTGGTGGGCTTTGAGGTCTCAAGCCAGGCCAGTGTGGTATTCTCATCCTTCTGTCCACCAGTCTGGATATAGAACTCAGCTATTTCTCCAACACTATATCTGCCTTTGCACTACCTTGCTTCCCACCGTGATGATAATGGATTAAACCTCTGTCCTGGGTAGGGTTTCTATTGCTGTGATGAAAGAAAACATTTAATTGGGGGTGACTTACAGTTCATGTTTAGTCCTTTATTGTCATGGTAGGAAGCATGGTGGCATGCAGGCAAACATGGTGCTGGAGGAGCTGAAAATTCTACATCTGGACCAGCAGGCAGCAGGAAGAGAATGCCACACTGCATGTGACTTGAGCATCTGAAACCTCAAAGCTAATTCCAGTGACACACTTCCTCCAACAAGGCCACATCTTCTAATAGTGCCACTCTCTATTGGCCTATGGTGGGGGCATTTTTATTCAAACCACCACAACCTCTGAAACTGTAAGCCAGCCCCAATTAATTTTTTTTCCTTTATAAGAGTTGCTTCGGTCATGGTGTCTCTTCACAGCAATAGAAACCTTTAAAAGACAGTCCCTAAAATTAGTGATATGCATGTATTTAGAAAAATGAAGAATAGCTATAAAGAACAACCACAAATAAGAGTCCTTATGGTAACACAGAAGATATTGGAGTTATGTCACTACAGTCCATGGAACATCAAGAATTGCTAGAAGTCAACAGCAGCAGGGTGGGGTGTCCCATAAACTTCCAAAAAATATTATCAGAAGACTAGATAGTGAGCGAATAAGTTTCTGTTGTTTCAAAGCACTCTGGCAAATTTTTTCAGCCATACTGGGAATCAAATGAATAACAGAATATTACATAGATGTTAAAATTAACAAATTAGAACTATATTATCAATTTGAGTAAATCTTGAAAAAAATACTGTCAAATGGGAAAAAACCTAATGGCATGGTGCAATTTATGTAGCCTCAGGGGAGACAAGAGGGAAAGAAGGAAACTGTCTCCTAATAGGCTAGTGGAATTGACTGGACAAAGTGAATTTGAACTTCATTATAAAAGTAAATGAAGTGCATTGAAAATTACCACTCAATAAACATGAAATGCCTTTCCATTTGGCATATTCTCCAGGAGAAGTGGACCCCAAAGAGACAAGACAATCTTGAAAAAGAATAGAGGTGAGATCTCAGAATTCCTGGTTTTAAAACTTATTACAAAGGCAGAGTGATCAAACTAAGTGGTACTGGCATAAACTTAAGAACCAATGAGTTAGATAAAGATCCTAGGTACAGACTTTTGTGGTATTATCAAATAATGTTCTACAAGGATCCTAGGAACATTTTTGGGGGCTGGGAAAAGTCTACAAAGGGTGCTGAGTAAACAAGATACATACATGCAAAAAAAAAAAAAAAACTAGGAGTAGTTGGGCTATAAAGTGATGATGACCTTATATAGAAAGATTAACCCAAAATGGATCAAAGACAAACATAAGAGCTAAACAAGGAAAAAAACTATACCGTTCACCAAAGTTAAAAACTTAATGTGTCAGGCTGGAAGATGGCTCAGGGGTCTTGAGTTCAAGTCCCAGCAACCACATAGTGGCTCACAACCACCTTGAATGAGATCTGGTGCCCTCTGCTGGCATACAGGCAGAAGACATAATAAAATCTTTTTAAAAAAAGAAACAAAGCTTCAGGTGTCACCAGGTGATGGTGGCACATGCCTTTAATCCCAAAGCGTGGGAGGCAGAGGCAGACAGATCTCTGAGTTTGAGACCCACCTGGTCTGCAGAATGAATTCCAGGACAGCCAAAGCTACACAAGAGAAACCCTGCCTCAAAAAAATATGTGTCAATGGATACCATCAAGAAAACAAAATACAGTCTAAAGGAGAAAATATTTGTAAGTCACATATATAATAAGGAACTTTAAGTGTTTACAGTATATTTAAAAAGAAAAATATGTGCCAGGCAGTAGTGGCACATGCCTTTAATCCCAGTATTTGGGAGGCAGAGGCAGAAGGATCTCTGTGAGGCAGAAGGTACTCTGTTAGTTCAAAACCAGCCTGGTGTACAGAGTTCCAGGACAGTCTGAGCTGTTAGACAGAGAAACAAAACAAAACAAACAAAAAAACTGCTTAAAAAAGTCTTTAAAACCAATATTGACCAAGAACTTAGTATGACATTTCTCCCAAGAAAATAAATTGATATCCAATAAGCAGATTAAAAATATGTCCCTCAGAATCAAGGGAATGAAAAAAACAGTGAGATACCAGCCCAGACTCATTCAAATGTTTGTAGTAATGGAGGATGTGGAGAAAGTAGAATCCTTGTTGTAGTGAGGATTTAAAATTGTTCAACTGCTATGTAAAACAACCCTGTAGGTCCTCAGAAAGTTAACTTGTGACCATTTGACCCAGCCATTCCACTCATGGGAATATGGTTTGAGCTGGAAACAGGTTCAAACATCTACACATAAACCCAGCTCACAACTGCACCAATAGCCAAAAAGAGAAACTTCCCCAAATGTCCATCAGTAGATTAATGGATAGACAGACTATGGTGTGTATCTATATAATAAAATATTGTTCAACCCTGAAAAGAAATGGTATCCTACACTGTGGGTATTTTCCTGTTTTATTCCACTTACCACAGGGGTCAGATAATAGCACATATCTTTGATGGCAACCATATTGTGTACCACCATTTACTTAACTCCATTTTTAGGCATTGCAGTTTCATTTGTTTTCTATAATTTTGTGTTGTGATTTCTTGTCTCATTAATTTCTGTTTTCTAGTCTCTAGAAAAAGCTGGTAAATTGTCATATTTTCCTTACTCATTCCAAAGTATTAAAATTTCTAACAGGATATGCTCTCTACTCACATTTAAATGACAACAATCAATAGGGGTGTTTTTTTTTTTCAGTTTAAGCAATAAAAATTAAGCATTTTTCTACTCTTTTGTGTTTTAATTTATTTAATTCAATGGATATGGGTGACCTGTCAGCTTGTATGTCTGCACAGTATGCATGCAGTGCCTGCAGAGGCCAGAAGAGAGTGTTGGATC